ACCATCGCCAAATGCACCGAATAATCCACCTTATTCATCCCACATCATTCTTTCATCTGTCTTCATCGATTTCCACCTGTTTTTCATCCAAAAATTCCATCCACGCCACATACACGCAACATACACGCTACATACACGCTACATACACGCTATAGCGTGTATGATAGTTTGCTAGGGAATTAAAGTAAATTATTCAATAATCGTCTGCTTTTCTAGCGGTGAAATTTTGTTTAGGAAATTATTTTCATTAACTTTCCAATTAATTGTTATGCATGTAACTTTGCATTCGTTCGATCTCCACCGCCTGAGCTGATGAGGCTGATAAACTTGCACTTATTTACATGGATGATTGAATCCCCATGCCAGGACCCCAGCGAAGCTACCGCTAAAGTGTATGGGATGTGTACATGCTCACTCATGTACACACGAACACGTGAGGGAGAACTGTTCGCACTTGAATCTCAATCAGAGAACTATCGAGTTTCAAATGATTGCTCACAAGTGATTAAAAAAAATATTCTTCCTTTTTATCACTTTCTATTCGTGAAGATTTTGAAAGAAAATCTCACAAACATGAATCAATTCGTAGATACAATTATTGGTATTGAGGCAGCATTAAAAAGGAATTAATCGTCAAACGACGATGTGAGAACGGTGGCAGTTATGAGATATGAGATATTAGACGTCAGACATCACATACCAGATATGAAAAATCGTATGATACACCCCGCCCCCTCCAGCTCAAAATTTGGCACCATTACCAGCTAAGGGCGATAAAGTGGAACCGGCCATTACCGATCGAAGATCAAGCCGATATTACTCTGCCCCGCAACCCGCTCAGATCCATATATTCAGAACCGGCCTTGCTTATCCGCTCTTATATTACTTTTCAGATTATGTATTATACATCAAATTATGTTAGAATAATCCTATAGCAAAATCTTGAGTTCTCCTTCGGATTTTCTATAAGAAATCTACAAGGTTTTCCAATAGGTGATGATGCATTACAGAAACATTTTTTTTCTTATTTATTTCAGATGATGCTTCACACAATTGGACGATTCATTACGGGATTACTATTTCTCGCACTTGTCGCCGGAAGCACAGCTGTACTTGGTAATGATTAACTGCTATTTTTTTTCATCCTCTCAGTACAACTCTATTTTCATTACAGTGTGTATAACGCTTGGAAAAATAGTATTCCACATTCGCCGCAAGTATTCTTCTGGACGCATTTGCAGGATATAATTCCTTTCTTTTATTGCCCAACATAATATGTTTCAGAACTAGGCCGTGGAGAACTTTTCTGGCCAATATTCACCTTCGGCTTATCCTATGAGGATAAAAAGTTTTTCTCCGCCAAGCACTGACCTATATTTTTTGTTATTCAGTCTGCAGACTAACTAGTTCCTACTGAGGTTAGATAAATCGTGATTGTATTCTTTCTTCGCTTGACTTGAATGCGGTTTTTGGCCGAGTCATTTTCCATAATGTAAATGGTGTCTCAGAAATGCATTCCATTCGAAAACCGGCATGTTCACGAGGTTCTGAACTAAAAAGTAATTGTCCACTTTTTGATTAGAAGTACCTCTGAGCAGATATTACAGTGATGCGTACAGACAATGGCGCATCAACTTTCAGCCGCTGTATCAGTGGGTATAATTTTTTTCCCGTAAGCAGAAGACGGGACAGAGTTGCCCTCACACTTGTGAGCGAGAAACAAATAACCTACTAAATGAACTGGTTCCCATCCACAATAAACACTAATCATAGAATGTGACAATCAACCTATAAGATTTTGAACATTCAAGAAATGTAAAAAAAATTTTTAAGCTGAATATTTGGGAGTCATCGCAAAAACTAAGGAAAAATGCAAATTATTGGATCATTTTGAAAAAGGGGGGCAGGGGATTTCGAACGTTTAAAAAACTTACTGGCTGTCCTATTGGCCCTTATATCTCCTCAGAAGTGCTTCAAAATCAGAATCAAAGTGTGAAAAAGTGGACAAAGCTTTTCTACTTCAGATCAGCCGGTGAACACGCCAGTTCCAGATCAGCATGTACTTCTGAAAAATCCAGTATATGACACTGAATATAAAATTACAATCCGAGACAAAGATGAGAATTGTTATCATATTTGCTCGAAGATACTCTCTGGACTAATAATGCAGTTTCCGTTACGGCGGGAACAAAGTGACATTTCCCTCCTGCATCGTAGCATAGAAATCTGACTTTTCTCCTACACTGGTACGGAAAATGGTGGTTGAACCACAAAAGATGTTTACCTCTAAAATTAATGGATTCTCTTCATGAATTTTGTTTATGAAAAATATTAAATCAACATCGAGTGTATATGAAAGAATCCCGTCAGTTAATTTTTCTATTATACGAATACTCCCGAAGGTGCTCATTTTCAACACAACATGGCACTGATTTAAAAATATGGAAAAATTTCATCCGCGTCAATTTTTTTGTATTTCACTGTGTTTGAATTCAGCTTTCAAAATGACCATTCATGCACAGAGACGTTGACCTTAATGCAAAGTTATATTTTGACCACGTCCAATACCATGGGCATCATTCTATTCATCAAGTCCTGCAGTGCATATTTGAAGTCTAACCTCCTCATCCACATCCACATTCTCGATTCATTGACGCGTAGTGGAGACTATGGATATTTTTCAGTGTAACGGCAGAACAAGCGCAACGGACCAGTATATAAAAATGCAATTCGAAAGAAACCATACTTCAATCAAAATAATTTAGTTTGATATTTTCGAGAATATAAAAAAACCATTTTCTTCAGATGTAGACTTACCAGCTGTCGATAATAAATTCCAGATTTGAATGAGTAATGATTAGGCGTTCTGGTATTGTGACTGGTATTGAAATTTTCACGGTATTTTGAAAATATTATACGCAATTTAAAATTAAATGGAATCCGCAAACCTACTCTGCTACATTTCAAGTGAATTTCGTGCTGGTTCTTATTAACCATTTAATTCTATAAAATAGTCAATAAAATCTGATTTTTGAATAAGATAATTGAATGATATATTTTAGTTTTGTTTAATTGATACACAGTGCACCTGAAGAGGAATGTGTCGAGTATTCGAAACGTTTTGCGGTTAAGTCTATTATTATGATCTTCTTTAAATTTTTATAATCAACATCAATGAAGAAATTGACAGAATAAAATGATGGTACATGTCTAGTTCAGGTCCACCAAACCATTCTGTATGTTTTTTATTTGATTGGGTGGCTTTCCACCACCTAATTAAGAATCTGGTCACCTTTTTATCCAGAAACAATTAGTATGGAACATATGACGTTCACTACACCACTCTCTGCGTTATCCAGGGCCACAGCGAGGACGTGGCGATGTGTTAGCCCCAACGACACCTCATGTTGACACATTTATAGACAATGGACACATAGAAAGATGGATTTCATCAAATATTCCTGACCACTTCACTAAAACTCTGAATTCACTTCACCTGACCATCTACCATCGCTGACTGAACACAAAGAGTGATCTGTCCACTGCTACCCTTCTATAGCAATTCAAATTATTGAATTTAATATCACTCACTCGTCGTGTCAACAGCAACAGCAGGGGGGAGTGGAGTTTAAGGAATTTCAGGGACAACAGAGTTTACCTGAGGATTATTTTTCGATGTATTTGTTGTTTCTTTTCTTTCTCTCTTCTTTGGTCTTGTTAATGGGAACTGAGAGGATAAGAGTAGATTTTTCGTTAGAGAAATTAATATTTCAATGATTATTGTTTTTGGTGGATCTCAACCATACATTTACCCAAATGCCCGCAACTCAACAATTAAACAAAACTAATCATGGTGGTGTGACGTCCCTATAGATGTTGAGAAGGTTGGATTTTAGTAAATTGACACCTATGAGAGATAACTCCGGTTGTCAGTGGATAGCTATATTCCTTAGGTAGGTTCCACTAGTCAAGGCCACTATGCGTGGCTGATCAATTAAGACACGAGTTGGTTTAACTAGAGTTTTAACAGTTTTATTCGGATTTAAACTGCACTTGATTACACTTGGTTTCACAGTCTTGTGAAAAAAACCTATACAAAGCGCGATTTACTATTATAGATGTTTATGAATACTTTGAATTAAAGAAATCCTTCGATTTACTTTTAGTAAAATATATTCACTTGAAATTTGAAGAGAAGATTATTGAATCTTCGGGGTTGAGTCAGAATTAGAAAAATGAAATAATGGACGTGGAAGTCGAAATAGAAGTGTGTGTTTTGGGACTATTAGGAGCAAGTTTTATAGGGTTGAATCTACGAATGAGGAAAATGCTGCGGGAGACTCGCGGGGGCGTGCGCACCCTGAATTAGAGGATAGGATTGGCTGATAGGAGGTGGTAGGGATGCGAGACGGTTGACTTTAGGTCAGCCGTCGCGTTGGAGGGTTGTGATTGGAGTTTTAGTCATTAAAATGCAGCTGCGTTTTTATCTTTGGGGAAAATTCTGATCCCACGGATTGTTGAGATTCGAGAGGGTTTCTTTAAAATTTATGGTACTTTAGGATTTCCGAGGTTCGCCGTGTTCAAATAACTTTTCAGAGATTTGAAAATTATCTAGTTTTTTTAATGGTTTTCGGTGATTTTTACGATGTACGGATGTAACAGGGAAATTCTGTTTTTCGTTTCTGGAATATTTATTATGCACGTGTGCATTAAGTTCATTTAAAATCTGGTCTTGAGTGTGGGAAAAGCAGTTTTATGCTTTTCCCACGAAAAAATATCTTTGAAGTTTCGAATATCTAAAATAACGGTTTTTGATAATTTTAGTAATTGGTGAGAATAAAAATAAGATATTTGCTAATTTTGGGACTTATGTACTAAGTGTCGGTAAGGCTCGACAGTTGATAAAATACGGTAGAAAAAATTGCTAGCGCCATCGTAGGGCATATGGTAGGGACGTAACAGTGGAAATAGTAACCCAAAGACCTATTTTTTGTAGACTTCCTTTGACATATATTTTGGAAGTCTTTCCTTTCGAAGAAAACTTAAAAAATATGATTCAAGGAGGTTTCATACAAATAACTGTAATCGAATAAGTTGAATAAAATAAGCAAAATCTGTTCATTACTCCAATACAATACATTCCGTTCGAAGGTCAATAAAAAGCTAGTAAAATTTGTTATGAAACACGCCATGTTATATTTGTATTCCATTTGTATTCCATTCTATTTTTTTATGTTAGTATCCCTTCACCGCTTGCTGAAGGAAGAAGTACTGGGCGGTTTTTACTGTATTATTCATACATGCTAAAAATTTATGAACATTTATGAAAATTTGTAAAATTTGGTCAACTGACCAGGTGAACGAAAATGTTATCAAAAACCCGCTTTATTATTTCATGTGCTGTTCCTTATATTGTTACTTTTTTGTTTATAGCGAGAGTGGCTTTCGAAAAGTTGACCGATTTCGACTATCGTGGAACGACATATTACAGTGTGAGGAATCTCTCGCTGTACGAGTGTCAAGGTTGGTGTAGAGAAGACACTGAATGCCAAGCTGCAGCATTTTCGTTCGTCGTGAATCCGTTGGCACCCATACAGGATACCCTCTGTCAATTACAAAATGAAACAGCATCAACTAATCCTTCTGCCTCACCTCAAAGGGCAGCCAATATGTATTATATGACAAAACTTCAAATACGATCTGGTAAACATTTTCTTCACTATACAATTTATTCGTCCATATGCATTTTACAATATATGCTTTAAAAATTGGGCTTGCGTATAATATTTGATTCTAATGTGGTTCTGAATAAGACGGTAAATTAAGAATCACAATTATCCACTGCAATTTATGTTATGATTTCGAAGCTGTGTATCCGTAAGCAGATTGTGTGTCAATTGCCGATGTTGAGTGCCCCGGAAATCACAAAAAAACCGTAAACAGGGGAGCGAGAATAGTGGGATATTATGGAAATGGGTGAAGAAAGTGTTACTCACTCAACAGGATAACTCAATATTACTTTTATCGACGTGTCAAACATGATATTTTCTGTTTACCTCGGCCGAAAGCCTACACAGAAAGAAGAATACCGGAAAAATTACGGAACTTTCACGTATTCGTGGGGTTTTTGGTTTTCGGGGAAAAATACTGTAAGTTGCTTAAAAATTTTCGTAGAGAGCAAGAATTTTTACGAAACTTTCAGGACAATTTTACGGTACGTCCAGTACGTTTTCCCGAAAAGGAAGGCCACCCCACGAATACGTAAAAGTTCCGTAATTTTTCCGGTATTTTTCTCTCCGTGTATATGACTGGGTGAAGTGAGATTAGCATTGGATGATGGAACGAGCCTGCAGAAGAGAGCTGAAACTTGATTGAAATTATATTATGCGTCTAGTTCTCGTTGATCATTTTTAAAATATACTTCCTAGTATGAGCGTTGTAAGTAATATTACTAAATGTATTGATTTTGCAATGCTAACGGTTCTTCAAACTACGCTATAATATTTGATTTTCGAGTGTCGACAACCACAATAAAGTTTAGCGGACAACCATATTTGCCGATGCAACACTTTCCGATAGAAAGGTGGTTGGTGCCTCCACCCGGGCACAATTTTCATCATAGGGTAAAGTGATATGATTATTATAATCCAACGCATCAAACTGAATCGAAGGTAGGGTTTGGAGAACAGAATGACGAAATATGTTCCCAAACACTGTCCGTTTTGTGCATGTGGACTCTCTGAGAACTGCAGCATCATTGGAAGATATCATTGAGCGCGACCTCGGGTTGTATCCGGATAAAGTTTATAATTACGCGAAACATTACGCGGCTGGCATCGGGGCGGAATTGCTCGGGTTAACGCGTACCTCCGCCTCTCGAGATCAATTTTACGAGTCTAGCGGCAGAAGCGGTGTTGTCGGACATCGTTATTCTCCAGGGTTGACAGAAGGGCTATAGCCTCGGGGACAATGCCCGAGTCTTCTTCTCGCCTCGAGTTCACTGGTTATTGCACTCTGGGCAAGGTCTACGGTGTCCCGGGACAGACTCATTGTGCCAAGCTATGTCTTGCTCACCGTCAATTCCCTGCTCTTCTGGTCGTCTCCCTTATCACTCTTCGCTGCTTCTCCTTCTTTCCTTCTGAATGCATCCTCGAGTCGTATAACGATTATTTATTCAAGACGACAAAGCATACAATCCGCCGTCGCCATCTTGAGATCCACGGTAGCGTATCCGCCAAGTAAAAGTTTCGTCTCTATACAATAAATAAGGCCCAGAGCTACGGTGTATCTGTACAAGACACAACTAACCCTTCCATTACCTCCTAATCGTCTTCAATCTATAAAATACAAACGCCATAAGTTGCATACAATCGGTGCACAGTTACATTAGATAAATCGCCCTCAAACTTTTAATTGATATAAGTTTTCCCTTTTTTCGACTAATATTGGCATAAATACGCCCATAGCAACGGGCTCATTTCAATATTTTCCCGATTTCTTGTATCTTTCGGTTACATTGAAATCACTAAGTTGGGAGCAGTTCGATCCAACCTAACCTGGGCCAAATTTGGCGTTGCCATCAGTCTATTCAAACCGTTGAATTGTAACAGGGAAACAGAGGAGAGTGTTTTATTTCTTCCCAATTTCGAATTTTATGTTTTTTATTTAGTTCCATAATTATAATTGTTTATTTTATGTTAAGGAATATTCGCTTTGCATTTTGTTGGAAAATTATGTGCAGTTCTTGACCTATTTATGTGTGTAATTACACCTGTGACTGAAGGCAATTTTGGAGGTTAATAGAAGTATAAGTCGCGAGATTTCGACATTAAAAAAAAGTTGATTCGGTCTAATACATACGTAAATGAAGAAAGGAGTTTTTCAAATTGCTGAAACACATTGGGTATTATGTAAAAAATCATGCAAGTAATATACTTTAGATGAACTGAAAACGTGATGTGGGTGACAAAAATTTGGAAAACGTGAAAATAATCCTTTACTTCTATTGAAAAAATACGTCAATATTTTTTCAATAGAAGTAAAGGATTATTTTCACGTTTTCCAAATTTTTGTCACCCACATCACGTTTTCATTCATTTCAAGTATACTATAATACACAATGTGTCTTAAACCGAATCAATTTTTTAATGTCGAAATCTCGAAATACATACTTCCATTAACCTCCAGAATTGACTTCATTCACATGTGCAATTACACACATAAATAGGTCAAGAACTGCATTTAATTTTCCAACAAAATGCAAAGCTGTTAAAAAAAAGATGAATGGGTGGTGCCAGATGGTATGACCCTAGTGGGTCTTTTAACAACCCTTTCCCAGTACCTACGCGGTACCCCAACCTAATTCCCTACCCGCACTTTCATCTAGCTACCTTATAACTAACTTCCACAGGCACTGGGTTCGTTTTCCGACGATGAAAAATTTTTTCACCATCGGGACTCGAACCTGCGCTACCGGGACGCTTTGGTCATAGGGCCAGCACGCTGACGACTAGCCCAAAGACGTCCTTTTGCAAAGATGTTATTTGTTACCATAAAATAAACAATTACAATTATGGAACTAAATAAAAAACATAAAATCCGAGGGAAGAAATAAAACACTCTCCTCTGTTTCCCAGTTACAATTCAACGTTTGACTACACTGATGGCAACATCTCAACGCCAAATTTACCCCAGGTTCGGTTGGATCGAACTGCTGCCAACTTAGTGACTTCAATGTAACCGAAAGATAATAGAAATCGGAACAATATTGAAATAAGCTCATTGTCATGGGCGTATTTTTGCCAATATTAATCGAAAAGAGGGAAAATTTATATCAATGAGAATTTTGAGGGCGATTTCTATAATGTAACTGTGCACAGATTTCATGTAACTTGTGGCGTTTGTATTTTATGGATTGAATAGGATTAGGATACTACCCTAGGATACACTCTCGGCCTTATTTGTTGGATTGAGACGAAACTTATACTTAGCCGATAAGCTACCAGCGTATCTTGATAAAGTATATTGTATACTTTATTCATAATGGTATCATTTTCACCTCCCTATATAATTAACGTAATCTGTAATTTTCTTGAACCGGACGACTGGACCCAGACTTGATCAGATTCTCATCAGGAATCATCTGACCAGACTAAACTCAGACTGATTGCATGAGAACCTGATCTGGTTCTACATGGACTATTTCTGGTTCAATAAACTGGATCAAAGCTTGATGAGTTTCTCATCAAGAATGGCCTGATCAGACTAAGACGGAGCTGATCAATTGAAAACTTGATCCTAATCCATCTTAGGTAATTCGGATCAGAGTAACTTCATCGAAACTTGATCAGTTTCTCATCGGGCATTGCCTGATCAAGCAAAACTGACGAATGCCGGATCAAATACTGATCCAAGTTCAGGGTAACTTGAGGCAATTTCCACTCGAGTTCAATAGAAAGTTGAGGTTCTACATCGATATACACCCAGAGATGTCAAAACTTACGCTGAGTCTATTATATTCATATTACCCAATAAAACCATTTTCAAAAATTTCAATTAACACAAAATGGACTGGTCATGTTAGTCCGCAGGTCTATTTACAGTCTTTATGCGCCATGAACAAATCGATGTGCAAAGGACCACTGTTGTACTAAATAAATACATGGAATGAATACATTCCAAGTTACTTAGACTCTGCCTTCGATCACCGGATACTTGGCGAACAAATTACATATTTTGAAAAAAACAATGAACTGAATGATTAAGAAATCATTTGGAAAAATTTAGAAAACTATTTCCATAATTTGGAAACAAATAGTTTATTAGTTATCAATAGAAAGCTCTTGAACCAAATAGTTAGCGAACATTGACTCAAATTTAATAAAAACCACCTCAATCGACATAAAATAATTTGGCAATGAAAGTGAAAACCTTATTATTATTTGGAAAATCGTTTAATTATTATACTGGAAATCAAATAAGGCTCAGAAAGAGGAAATTACCGTTCTATTGGTGACTTTACACCCTCTCGCCTCGGTTAAAAATGAGACGTTTGATCTCAAGCGGGCCCTGTCGGTAACTGCGGAAATTCCTGGAAGCCAGAGTGATATCAAAGAGTCGGGCTTGGGACGGCTCCTAAAAATTTTCCCATTTTTTTATTCATTTCAAAATTCTAAGAGGGAATTCTGTATGCACCTTAGGTTAAAGGGAGTCTTCATCCACATTTTCCTTACCTTACCAACTCGTACAGGTCGTACAAGAAAAATCGTGACTTCTATAACCAGGTATACATTTCGACCCTATTTTCTACTCTTATACCCTCATTTTCAAGATGGCCGACGGGACCATAAAGAAATCTAATTGCAGGTGCGTGTGGATCGATTCAGGGAATGATTGTGAGTTGATCGGCACTTATAAAGTTCAACCCCATTTTTCTACCCTCATGACCCTATTTCCCAGCTGATAGGTGGGGTCTCTGGTGGTCTGTGCAGATCGACGCGGGGGATTATTCGGAGTCCATCTGTACCTAAAAAATTTAACGCTATTCTTCTTCCCTCCATTTCCAAGATGGCGACTACTGTAAAAAAATTTTATACAAGTGTATATGCAGCCCGATTGGGTGATGATTCTTAGTCGATCGGTAACAATAAATTTCAACCCCATTTTCTCACCCGCATTCCCCCATTTTCGAGATGGCTGATGAA